CCTTGTAATCCCAAAGAGATTGTCTTGACTCCAAAGCAGTTCTTTGTTTTTTACAGGGTGCATCATTTAGTACAGCAGTTGTCCAATAACTGCAAGGCAGTAGACTGAAAGTTTGGGGTAAGAAAATGAGAGTATACCATAATCAATTGAAACTGTAGCCTTTGCCTAACTTGCTAGTTGGAAAACACAGTTAATTTAGTTAAGATTACCTTAATCTCTAGAGTATGTGCACATATACACTGAGGCTTGGCATCATGAAGCTGATATTTTGAGTGAATGGCCCTGCAGGAGGGTGTTGGTAGATGGCAGCCCTGTGGATTAGGAGTTTCAGGGACTTCCCTGGTGGTCCAGGGGTTAAGAATCTGCCTTCTAATGCAGGGGTGGGGGTTCAGTCCCTGGTCGAGGAGCTAAGATCCCACAGGCCTCTCGGAATGGCAAAAGAAAAGATTAGTAGTTTCAGAGGACTCCTTTCAATCAAATCAGAGTTGCGGAGTATGGGAGAGTCTCCCCGTTTGCCTCAAATTATCTGTGTGTCCATAAACACTCCAGAATTTTATCTTTTTAAATGTCAGGCATTTGGTCATTGATTTCCAGAGTATGATTTACCTAGAAATGACTGTCAAGACAAGCTTGGTGAGTAACCAGGAATAAAAGATGATGTTATCTCTAAAGGTTGCCATTTAGTGACATGCCCCAATTACGTTATTCAGGTCATTGTATACCCGCCTTTGCATCCTCCCAAATATAGAGTATATAGAATATGTGTCCTTAGAAAGATGCTTGTGGTGATTGATGGTGACTTTGGACTCCTCAGAGCCAAACGGGAAAACCAAACTGACAGCATAATGCTTGCAGGAAGTCCTGGGACTGACAGATCTCTGGGTGATAATGGGGCCGTGAGAGGAGTGACTGAAAGACTGAAAAAGAGTAGTGGTAAGACAGGGAGAAAGTTTAAAATTCCCAAAGTACTGTTTTTCATTCTTATTTTACTATGAATCTTTCTGATAATAAATACGGGGGGCAGGAGTGGGGTGGGGGAGGACCTTATCTAGATTTAATCCCCTCAGGCTTGCTGGAACAAAGTCAAAGCACAAACTGAGCTGCCTCTTCGACACTCCTAAGAAAAGCCTCCTTATAACAGCCTCAGGAGCTTACTTCAAATCCCAGGCCTTTGTCTTTCATCTCTCTGCTCTTGGGGCTCTGGGTAGTGCCACATCTGGTGGTGGTTTGTGTGAAAGGAAATAATATGTATAATAGTTTCCTGTTTGGTCATTTAAACCTATCCTTGTGCTGGACAGAATTTGACCCACTTCGCTCAACAGCAGCGTCCTGTCACTAAAGTACCTGTTATTTACAGCGATCTGTCAGCTGAAGTCACAGTGCTTTACCACTAGCCCCAAAGCTGCCCATCCCCCTTATTTGGATCCTTCTTATCTTCATTTATACAAACAGTGTTATTATAGCTTAAACTGGAGGCTGGGATTTATTTCTTTAGAGCACAGAATTATTTTTGATAAGAAACAAAGTCTAGTAAATATGGTCATTGTCATCAATCTCTTCTCTTATTCATTTTTGGAGCCAGATTTCATTTTATTCTTGAACTTTATTCTTGAATTGAATTTTATAATTTATTGTGTAATGACTGGCAAGGAGTTTTTATTTTTATTTATTTATTTATTTATTATTATTTTTTTTTATCACAACCATAGTGTATCTTTTTTTTTTTTTTTTTTTTTTTACATGTATTCCCCATCCCGGTCCCCCCTCCCACCTCCCTCTCCACCCAATCCCTCTGGGTCTTCCCAGTGCACCAGGCCCGAGCACTTGTCTCATGCACCCAACCTGGGCTGGTGAACTGTTTCACCCTAGATAATATACGTGTTTCAATGCTGTTCTCTTGAAACATCCCACCCTCGCCTTCTCCCAGAGTCCACAAGTCTGTTCTATACATAGGAGTCTCTTTTTCTGTTTTGCACATAGGGTTATCGTTACCATCTTTCTAAATTCCATATATATGTGTTAGTATACTGTAATGGTCTTTGTCTTTCTGGCTTACTTCGCTCTGTATAATGGGCTCCAGTTTCATCCATCTCATTAGAACTGATTCAAATGAATTCTTTTTAATGGCTGAGTAATATTCCATGGTGTATATGTACCACAGCTTCCTCATCCATTCGTCTGCTGATGGGCATCTAGGTTGCTTCCATGTCCTGGCTATTATAAACAGTGCTGCGATGAACATTGGGGTACACGTGTCTCTTTCAGATCTGGTTTCCTCGGTGTGTATGCCCAGAAGTGGGATTGCTGGGTCATATGGCAGTTCTATTTCCAGCTTTTTAAGAAATCTCCACACTGTTTTCCATAGTGGCTGTACTAATTTGCATTCCCACCAACAGTGTAAGAGGGTCCCCTTTTCTCCACACCCTCTCCAGCATTTATTGCTTGTAGACTTTTGGATAGCAGCCATCCTGACTGGTGTGTAATGGTACCTCATTGTGGTTTTGATTTGCATTTCTCTGATAATGAGTGATGTTGAGCATCTTTTCATGTGTTTGTTAGCCATCTGTATGTCTTCCTTGGAGAAGTGTCTGTTCAGTTCTTTGGCCCATTTTTTGATTGGGTCATTTATTTTTCTGGAGTTGAGCTGGAGGAGTTGCTTGTATATTTTTGAGATTAATCCTTTGTCTGTTGCTTCGTTTGCTATTATTTTCTCCCAATCTGAGGGCTGTCTTTTCACCTTGCTTATAGTTTCCTTTGTTGTGCAAAAGCTTTTAAGTTTCATTAGGTCCCATTTGTTTATTTTTGCTTTTGTTTCTAAAATTCTGGGATGTGGGTCATAGAGGATCCTGCTGTGATTTATGTCGGAGAGTGTTTTGCCTATGTTCTCCTCTAGGAGTTTTATAGTTTCTGGTCTTACATTTAGATCTTTAATCCATCTTGAGTTTATTTTTGTGTATGGTGTTAGAAAGTGTTCTAGTTTCATTCTTTTACAGGTGGTTGACCAGTTTTCCCAGCACCACTTGTTAAAGAGATTGTCTTTTTTCCATTGTATATCCTTTGGCAAGGAGTTTTTAAAAAGCAAAACCAAAAAGGTGCCAATAATAAACTGAAAACTATTTAATACTTTGAATTCTTTTTTTCTGATTTGGCTCTGATCTCTCACCCTGGCTATTCTTGACAGTCTTGTCCTTGAGGTCTTTCTTTGTCTTTCATTTGCTGCAGAGATGGCTAGTTTTCTTCTCTCTGGGCCTGTCCATTTGTGGTTCTGAATGTCCCAGAGACCACGAAACTTGGAACACTATTTCTGTATATAGTTGTCATTGTTCAGTCGCTCAGTCATGTCCGACTCTTTGTGACCCCAGCACACCAGACTTCCCTGTCCTTCACCATCTCCCTAGAATCTCTTCATACAGTAAACTCTTTTAACTGCACAATGAGTACTGACAATTCCTAAATCTGTTTATATATTTGGGGGGGTGGGGTGGGAAATTCCACTCTGCACTCATCACTTGCTTTTTACTCTAGTCCCATAAACTGATTACAGTTTCTTCTTCCTTAGAGACATTGGGAATGTATGGATACTTCATTTAGTTTGGACCTCCAGAAATGCTTATGATAAAACAGAGAGAAATGTTTGTAGCATCACAACGTGTTTGCTTAGGGCAGGGGTGTGCATAACTATGACCCTCAGGCCAAATGCAGTCAGCAACCTACTTGTGCACATTAGGACTAAACATTTGTAAAGTGTAAGGGAGAACCAAAGAGTATGGAATAGAGACTATATGTGTCCCACAAAGTTTAAAATACTCTCTGACCCTTTATAGAAAAAGTTTACTGACCCCTACCTTGGACCAGCATCATATGTTAAAATTTAAAGCCTTGTATTTAGAGCAACTGGTGTCTCTCTGAACTTCAGATGTAAACTCTTATTGGGTACTGCGTGCTATACCAGACTAAATTATACTACATTTATTCCAGTTTGATTCTGTGTCGGCACTATTTATATATTATTTCAGTGCTTCTCAATTCTTGCTGCATCTTAAAAATCATCTGGAAAGCTTTAAAAATACTGTTGCCTAGGCCCCTACACCAGAGATCCTGATTTAACTGATCTGAAAGGGGACCTGGGCATAAGTGTGTCTTATATGCTTTTCAGGTGATTCTAATATTCAGGCAGGTCTGAGAACTACAGACCTATACCACTTGAAGGTCTTTTTGTGGATTGACAATCAGACCATATTGTTAGGCAGTTTTTATTCACATTTTTCATTAGAAATATTATAAAGATCCATTATACAAATTGCTCTATAATTTCAAGACAGAAGTGTTGCTTAGGGAAATTTTAACCGAGACAATTTTGAAATGTGAAGAGCATAAGAAACAGACAATGCCGAGACCAGAAAAATAGAATTTAAAAGATAGGAACTGAAAAGAGCATGCTGGAAAAAAAAGAAAAAGAAAAAGAAAAAACCACTCAGAATTTCAATACACAAATCACTGAGTAGATTTCTTGCTGTCTGGGTAAGTGTATCTATTTTCAAAAGTGCTATTAACATAAACAGAGCAGTAAATCTGGGGCACCATCCTTTTTTTTTTTTTCAAAGTTGTTAAGAAGAATTATATCAGTCTGCAGGTGTCACACGCAGTTACTCAGAATCAGAAAGAAGGCTGATCGGGGGTTAGAAGATCTCCATCTATCTATCTTTTTGCAACCAACCACGTCCAGGCTGTTTATTTAATACTTCCTCTTGCTAATGAAGGTACTGGTTGGGGATGGGTCGGGCTTTCCCATGTCAGCATAAGACTGCAAGATTTGAATGTGCCCTGGTGTTGGCTTCACTGACCACAGCAGGTACCCCAAGCAAGAATCTGAGCAGCAATAACAGGTAACAACAGAGTTTGCATCAGACCTCTGACAGTTTTCCTTCCAGTGTATTTCTTTTTCTCTCCATTTATCATCGTGTTCTTTTCCCTCTTCTTTTTTCATTTTTCCAAACCAGCAAGTGTGGAGGCAAGACACATCAAAGCAGAGATGGGAAGTGAAAGAGCTCTCGTTCTGGACAGATTAGCAAGCAATGTGGCAAAGCGAAAAAGCTCAATGCCTCAGAAATTCATTGGTAAGAATACAACCCTTTTTCCTGCTGTTGTTAGCAGATAGCTTGAATGAGATAACATAGGATGCTTACTACCCTTGCCTTTCCTACTTTAATCTCTGTTAATCGATTTTTCCATTTACAAGTTTTATTCTTTGGGATTCACTTTGATAACTAGAGCAAATAAAATAAAATATTTTTAACTAAAAAAATATTAACTACTAAAGAGAGGAGTATTTGGTATCCAGTATCTTAAATGAAGTTGGTGTTAGAAATGCTGTTCCTTCCTCTTTATTTTGAATGACATATGTTGCATGAGAGAGTTTGTGCAATTTACACCAGTAAGATGTTCAAGATAGCATTTTTGTAATCTTTTGTAATTATATTTTACAAGTTGGTTCCCTTATCATGCTCAAACTTTTTTCAGGCTCTAAAATGTATTGTTAAATTTTCTTGAATTTGATTGAGAATTGGTTTTAAAAGAATGTGGTTGAGAATGCATAGATTTAAATAACAAGGTTTGATTTAGTCACTTGTCTTACTGGAGTTAATTTTTATACCATTGGTTTTCACATTGTCAAAAAACACAGTAAGAATGAGATGGCTAAGAAATAATTATGTCCGTTAAAGTGTTAGGACTGCCAAATGGCAGAAATATTTTGTTGAACTCTCCCAGATGTTTACATAAATGTGACTATGATATTTAAAATAGATTTGTATTTGTGGAGTAGGCAGCTGAATTGAATGTATCAGTTTTGCTATAAATTGAAAGTCAGTGATATTGAACAAAAATAGTTATCACACAAAAATAGACCTTCCTCAACACCAATAATATTTTAGAACCCTGTCAGTCTGTTTTTCCAAAGCTGTTGCTACTATTGATTTTTTACTTCAGTTCTTTTGTGTTTATTCTTTTCAATAGCTTTTACAGATATCAAACACCTGCCTGGTTTTTTAATCTGATTAAATTTTATTCTGGTCTAGATAATTTCTAAATTCTGGTATAATTAGTTTTTTAATTTTATGTGAATTATAGAGATATATTGAAGGAACCAATATATTTCAGAGCTACCCAGTTTGGTGTTTATGCTTATTTATTTTATGTTGATTGGCTGAGAAGTTTTTGTATCCTTTTAGTTATTGTAAGAATAAATCGTGTCAGACTAAAGTTGGTGCATTTCAGTTTAGAGAGACTCTTTCCTCATTACTATCTTCCCTCTCCTGGAGGGAAGTGTCAGAGGACATACAGTGACTTCCATATGGAGTTTAGGCACAGTGGACAAATCATGACACCATGACATTATATTAAAATATTGCTCATACATCTTTTGAGCTGTACTTGTGTAAAGAGGTTCTGGCTGGAGTACAAAAGGAAGCTTGAATTATTCTTCTGTGCCATGAGTATAATGTAATTTGGGGGATGTTTTGACTGTAGAAATGGCTGCAGCTGATGTAGATGAAGGAACGTGGGGAGAAATGGGCAAGAAAAAAATATAAAGTGACTTAATTTCAATCCACTTATGGTCAATGCATGTTGGTCTAAGAGAATTAAAATATGAGAGAAGGTACTTAGTTCATATAATTTCCTTAAACCTGTCCTTGAACTAAAGCCCTACTTAATAAGTTGCTTTGGTATTTTCATGGGTTTAAAAACACATGTTTCATATATGCAAGTCCATACCATTTTACTTATTGCATCAGGGATCCGTTCCATTTGTTTAAGACCAGAGGGTTTTCACTCTTCCATTTCCAGACTCAGGAGAAATGCTGATCTGGTAGGTACTGATTTCTCTCATATTCTGAACCATCATGTTCTGTCTGTGCTGGCGTCAGGAAACCAGTCGAGTTAGCTCTTGATTTGAGCTGAGGCAGCAACTTCAGGACTTCAGGGCCCTGAATAGCTGGGGAAAATTTTTTTTTTCTTTAATTGTGATAATATGCAGTAGGAAGAGCACTGGATTAGGAGCCAGAAGACCAGGTTCTGATTCCAGTTAAGTCATTTCTTAACTTGTGTGTGTTTAGACAAATCACATAACCTTTCTGGGCCTCTGTTTCCTCATCTGTGAAATGAATAGACTGAACAGGTGATGAAGTGATGGAGAAGGTCCCTCCCAGCTCCATCGTTCTGTAAGTCTGTAAGACGAGGTATAAAAGCCAGCAATTATGAGCACTACTTTAAGTCAATATGTGTAACTTCAGATCACTTTTCTCAAGATTGTGTAGATATGATATGTTATTATATGTTTGTTGTATGTTATAAACCATATCATATAATTTAGGTTTTTTTTTTTTAGAAAGATGTCATTTAACGTGAGTATCTATAAAACAGCTACATTAGTTCAACATTTATGTATTTTACGTAGTATATTACTACTGATTCATCCACTCTTTTTCTCCATTCATTTATCATGCAAATGTCTAAAGAGCTCCCGCCATGTGTGTGATAGTCTGGTTCCTGGGCACTGTTCTCATCTTCTAGCATTAGCTTATACCCTGAACCTTAAGAGATTTTTAAAAAAAATAAAACTCTCTGAATCACTTAACTTAATCAACCTTTTTGATAGAAAAGAGTAATTTCAAAGGGGAACTAAAGGAACATTATGACACCATGCAGTGTTCAGGATGTAGTAATATAAGACATGTGGAGCTAATATCTTCCCTCCCTCTTTTCTCTCCTCTATTTGCTCTCCAAGGCACCATTTTCTGAAAGGATTCAGCTGCCAGGCAAATGGCAATGGGTAAAATGTGAAGGAAGAATGAGTCACTCCCTTTAATCCTGGCTGATGGTTGCACAGCTTCCAGACCAGCCTTGGCTTCTCTGACCTCTTGAACTGTGAGGGTAAAGGTGAAGATTATACCATCAGGTCAGCCTGTTACTTTCCTAACAGGCTTGAGATAATTACCTGTAGAAAGCATTTTCACCCATTAGAGATGAACTGAGGAAGCAGGACAGATTGTATTGTCTAAATGCATTTAGAAACACAAAAACATACCTCTGTTGAAGAGTAAGAGTAAAATTAAATCACCCAAGGAGGAGAAAAATGAAATCACCTTTTTTTAATTCTCCAAGAAATGTTGTATCACTTTCTATAAAATGGGAAATAAATTGACACACATTCATTAGAAATCAGCATCTGTACGTCATCAAAATAATTCTTCTTAGTTATTCTTTCCAAAGGACAAGAAGACCTTGCTTTTAGCACCTAACCCCCTTAGGGACTGTCTTTTCTCTGAATCTTTATTCTCCGGTTACAGACTTGCTTGACTATACTTCTAACTAGGCCATCTTCAAATACTTGGCTCAAAATAGAGGCCAGATTTCTCTCCTGGAGGGAGGAGGAAAATGACTACATTTCTGCATATTTCTTTTTCTGATTTTCATTCTTTCTCCAAAAACAGATGTGTTATTCAGACCAAAGTGGTTACCATAGCATCTCCCTATTTTTTTTTAATTTCATGTATTATTTTATTAAAGGAAGTTTTCACGTTGAAAAGAACATGAAAAAAGATCTCACTCACGCCCGGTAAACATGTCATGAGGTTTTGACACTTCAGCAAACACTGTCGGTTCTCCCTGTGAAGGAACTAATGAGAAATTGTCTGCTTTGGTTAACAGGGTGACAGGAAGCAGTTTTAGTGCCTATTTCTAAAAGCAAAAAGTATGTCCTCCCATCCCTTCCCAAAGGGCCAAAATCCCTAATCCTATAAGCATCCAAAGTCATAGCCTTTTTGAGCTTGAAGGAATATTAGGAACCAGTAGGTGAAGTTCGTCCATTAAGGGAGGAAGAGGGATGGGAAAGATAGAGAGACGCAGCTAGTAGGTGACAGAGCAGGGCCAGAGTCTGGGTCTATAATATGCTGCAGTGCAAGGCCTTCCTTCCGCAGAAAGTCACCCAGAGCCGTACATGTCATGTGCGCTACACAGGGGCTTTGAAAAGGGGAGGATCTAGTCACTGAAAGCTGGTGGAAGAAAAATTCTTGAAGGCGGCCAGTCATTCTCTCTTAAGGGTGTGTTTTCTTGAGAAAAGAGCTGTGGTGACTCCATCAGGGCAGATGACAACCAAATAGCACTTCACGGTGACTCACAGGGGACAAAGGCTTCTGCAGCACCCGAATGTGGTCTCCAGCTCCATTTTCCTCACCGCCACCCCCACAACTCTCTCTTTTCTCTCTCCTCCTTCCTGCTTCTTGTTCTGTGGCTTCCTACCCTCTGTTCTCCTCCTGGAAGAGGTGTTAGCCACTTCAGTCTCACTTAGAGTGAGATCAGAGCCATCACCATCATCAGATATTCCATTTACCCTACTTACCTGCCCTTTTCTAGGGGGAGGATATGTGCTTGGAGTAAGAGTAAGCGATGATACACGTGGGAAATGGTATGAAGGTATCAGCAGATACAATTAAGTGATTTGAAGAAGCTTAAAGACTTAATGAAAACTCTGGTGTTTCACATTACCCTGTTGTGATGACTATCACATCGGAATTGTTATTTTTCTAATGTCAAAATCATTTCTCCTCCTCGTCAAAAAAAAAAAAAATCTTTCAATGGCTTCTCATCAGAATAAAATCTAAACCACCCAGGCATTCTGAGCCTTTCACAATCTGTCTCTAAGTTGTCTTTTCTAAATGTATCATTTCAGCCAACTAATCTTTTAATTCAGCCGTAATGAACTACTCCCACTTCTATGTTATCATTCTCGCTGTCTGGAATGCCCTCCCTCCCATCTGCCCTAAACCTCCACGTGGTCTACATTCCCATACTGTCCTGAGTCCTCTCTCTGTCCTCCCCCTGCAATCCAGGAGGGTTTAACAGTCTGCTTTTCGTGATATGTGTAACTGTCTCTGTCACCATCACTTCCACCACCTCAGATTTCAAGCAGATTTTAGAGGAAGAATAAATTAGTATTTGTCCCATGTTTTCTGGCATATTTGAGGTGTGGTGTGTATTTTCCTGTCTCTGCTATCTTGGCTACTCTATACTTTGTCCCATCACGTAGTATTAAGTACACTAATATGTAAGGAAATTGTGCACATGCTACATCTCCTGTTGGATTGCAATTAAGTTTGTATTCTTCAAAGCACCTAGCATGGTATGAAGCTAACAACAACAACAATAAAAAATCTACCACTTATTGAGTGCTCACATGTGCCAGGACTCTGTTAAGCACTTATGGACATCATGACAGCTCTACACATCTAGATCTTTATTAAATGCATGGTCGTGGTCCATATAGAACAAAGCATAGTTGCTTTTCTGTGCTTACGGAAACCATCCCAGCAGAGAATCCAGAGTCATTGCTGGTGGTGGGATTGAGACACGGGTGAGGTAGCAGTCAGGAAACAGTTAATGCTCAAACACTTACTGAAGTACATGGGCCCATGGATCACATCTCCATTTACCAGCTGAGCAGCCTGTGCGAATTAGTCAACTTGTTTCTGCCTTAAGTCCTTCATCTGACTAAGAGATGATAATTTATCTTAGGTTAAATGAGACAATATACTAAGTACCTAGGATGGCACTGGGTATATAGTAGGGCTCAATAAATAGTAGTTATTTTTCTTAGTGTTTACACATAAGGCCCAGTGCTTGGTACTGTGAAGTAGAGAAGTAACCAGGTTAGAGGGGTGGATCTTGTCCCTGGATGCCCAAGGCAGAAGTCTGAATCCACATGCCCAGCTAAGGTTCCTTTTAGCTCTAGGCTAGGATGTACTTTCAGGTTGGCACTTAGCAGCCAAAGACCATATGCCCTCACCACATTGCCACAACTCAGGATGGGCAGATGCTCAGTTCAGGGTTACCAAAAGACTAGGCAGTAGGGATTGACACCTTTAAAAGGAATCACAGGTAGGGAACAGACCAATGAGACAGCCTGGGTTTCTAAACTTAGGACTTGTTGCTATTTGTATTCTCATTGGAAGAAAACCTCCACTTCAGCCTGAAGCTGCTCTTATTAATCACGCAGAGGTGTGGTTTGATTTTGACTAGAAGCTGGACTGGAGGCTCTGAGCAGGTTTGGGAGCAGTTACACTCTTGTGGTTTGACTAACCTTTTTTATGAGTGTGTTACTAAAGAAACGTGAGCTGCTGGCTTTTCAATTACTGTAGCTTACCCCTCCTGAGTTTCATACACATTGAGTCATCGTGTCTACAGGTGACTGATAATCATCTGCACTACTCAAGTTACCGTAACTCGGAGATGAGGGGATCTGATGAGGGCAGGTTGCGTGCACGTGAAGATCTGAGGCGCTCCCATCTTCTTAAAAATGAACAATGGTCTGCGTTAACCACAGAACTCAGTCGCATATTTCCACATCCAGAGCTGATTTTCCTCTTGCTGTTTTGCCTCTTACAACCTTAGCACTCAGCTGTTTTTTGACATGTGCTGCAGGTGGTAGAGACTGTGAAATCGTTGGCCTAAGTAGGCGAAACAAACTCTTGGGAGAAAGGAGAAAAGCAGAGGTTGGGATGTGTCTGCCCCACCTCAGAAAGTTTCTGGAGCCTCTCTGATAGGCGAAAAGATAAAAAGACTTCCAGAGATTCCTAGTATTTGGAGGAACTGAGTAGAGTTAGCTCCACTGGAAAATCATCAGTAACCTTGAAAAGGCCAGGAAACCAAAGTTCATCATTTCTGTGTCACTTTCAGGGGAATGAATATTTGCGACTTAAGCCAGCTTTCAAGTATTCCAGTCTCATTCTTCCAAACTGCTCTGATTAGAGACACAGCCAGTCTGGCCCTTGAAAGAAGAATTATTGATTACTTTGGCAAAGGTCTTTGTTTCTGTTCCTTTTTATTGAGTAGTTAAGGCACGGTGATTTTCTTGGCATATTTTTTCTCTCAGGTATTTGTCTGGAAGCTGTCAAGTTGGCCTTAAGGTAGTGGGGATGCAGGACAAATCCGTCTGATTAGGTCTTTTAGCAAGTCTTTCTGTCTCCAACTTCTCAATGTTCTGGTCCACCTTACACATTGCTGTTACTTTAATATCCTTAAAATAACATTCTGACCGCAAGCCTGTCTTGCTCCAGAACATTAGAAGTTTGCCATTGTCCAGATCTAAGCCCTACTGTTTGTTGATTGTTCAGAGTGGGCATCATTTGCTCCCACCATGTGTTACCTTTTTTCAACATTCCCCAAAATGTTGTAGGCAAAAGGCTAGGAGGCTCACAGGGCATCTGAAAACCTTGATCTATGTGGCCAGAAAATTATTTTTTTTTTAGTTCTCTTTGAATCTTCCTGATTATACCAAGGAGAAAGATTTAGACTTTATTAGATGTTAGTTGTCTTCAACACTAATCGCACACTCTATTTTTAGCAAAGAAAGAGGGGATCTTTGTCTACAGGTACTTACAGTATCTGATCAAACTTTAATAAACTGCTGTGTTTCGTTGTCTTTATTTTTCATAGTTAACCTTCTGTTTATGGCAAGTGACTCTGGTTTTCCATTTATGTTGGTGATATAAAGTTTCCTTAAAAAAACAAATTTCTTTTAGCAAAAAAAGAAAGAAAACGCAAGCCAATTCAAACCAAATAAAAAACCCTAATGTCTCCTGAGTGCTCTCGGTGTGCCTGGTACTCTTCCAAGCTCTTACTAGTTCAGGTAGATACAGTCATCACCCCATGTTACACGAGGACACGGAGCCACAGACAGGTCAAGGAACTTACCCCCGCTCACACCTTTAGTAGTGGTGAGGCAGCAGCAAATCCTTACCGTCTGGCTCCAGAGCTCTTGCTCTCGACCACTGCACTGCCCTGGGGCGTTGCTCCTGCACGGTGCGGAGGAATAAGTGAAATCTGAGAAATCCTTCGTGCCATACGTCCTGATACTGTATCCTGACTCTCTCATTCCTCTTGGATGGTCCCTCGTGTCTGTCTTGATTCATGCTCATGTCTCAATTAGGATGTCTCTTCTGCCTCTCTGAAAATCTAAATCCAACCAGTTCATCCAGACCCTTCTCAAACTTTAGATTTTCCAAGAATACTTTCCCTTCCGAAAGTACTCCTGATGTTTTTGTATTCCCTTAACATTTAAATAGATAGTTTGTGCCAGACTGCCCTGCCCTTGCCTTATAGTCATTTTTACAGAAGACATGTTCCCCCATCCCTGCTTAAATGCCTCAGACATGGCATTTAGAATAAAAGCTTCTGTAGAGCAAGGCAGCCCTTTCTAAACTTTTAGCGTTTATTTTTCTCCAGTCCTAGCTCTCCAACTCTTGCTTCTCTCTCCCTAGGTTGGCGAGTCCTCAAGAACAGAAGCCGGCTCTTTCAGTCCCTTTTGTCTTTTTGTGTTTTTTCCTGCCTGAAGCCTTTACTGTGTGGCAGTGACAAGTTTTGGAATCATAACATGCTTCGGAAATGTTAGGGAAGAGAGGTTATCGTTTAACAAATCTCTCAGCATCCAGTGTCTACAGAATGAAAAAGCATCAGGAGTAACCTTGGCCTCACTTCCAGCCCTTGACATGTCTTCCCCACTTTCTTGTGCCTCCACCAGCCACTCACCATTGAGCTCACCTGCCATCACTGCAGACCCAACTTCTGCCTTCCCCGTGGCCAAAGAGCCTGTTTTCAAACCAGAACACCCACACGCCCTGAAGGTGGCTTAACTCTGTTTTCAAAATTTCTCAGCAGTTTGACATGAGAAGTAGGAGAGGGTGACCACAAATAAATTTTTCAGTTAAGTGTGAGATAAGTCCTGATGATCACATATGTATCAATGACACATCTTTTCAAACAAAAGAATAACAACACACTTTATGAGGACAAACATCATGATCTTTCATCAAGAGAGCCTTTCTAAAACCCCTGCCTTTGAAGTGCTTTTATTTAAATCTCAGTCAATCTAATGACCGATGTGTTTCGGGAGTGGTAAGTTGGAGTTTTGGGGGCTATTTTTTCTGCCTCTGCAGCTATTTAAAAAACTGCCGAGGTCAGAGCATCCCCACTTTTTGCAGCACATCCGGTCCCCTGGCTCCCTAGTATTACAAGCAGAAAAGAACAAGCAAACTAAGAGTTCAGGAATGGACTGCATCTTGAGAGTTCATGAATAGTAGAGATGCAGAAGCGCCCACGCTCCTGACACTGGCAACTCCCCGCCCCCTCCTAAGCCCCCTGCTAATGTTCTCTTGCTTCTTTTCTCCAGGGTTCCCCTCTGACATGAGCAGTGAAAACAACTCACATTGTAGCCTCAACTTAGTGACATCTCTGACTCCCTCTTGCCTGCTGGTTTCAGTTATTTTGACTGTCCAAACATGTGCTGTCAACCACTGTCCCTTGAGACTTCAGCACCGTGCAGGACCATTTCGCCTGGGCTGAGTGTTCTTAAGCAGGCAACTTGTCCTTCCTCATTTCTCAAGGGCTCCAGAAAATCATTTTAAAAACTCTGTGCCTTTGTATTGTTCCTTTTGTCACCGTTTCTTTCCCTTGTAGGTGAGAAGCGCCACTGCTTTGATGTCAGCTATAATCCTAGCTACATGTACGAGAAGGAGAGCGAGATGATCCAGACCCGAATGATGGACCAGGCCATCAATAACGCCATCAGCTATCTCGGGGCCGAAGCCCTGCGCCCCTTGGTCCAGACGCCACCTGCTCCCACCTCAGAAATGGTCCCGGTTATCAGCAGCATGTACCCCATAGCCCTCACCCGCGCCGAGATGCCAAATGGTGCCCCCCAGGAGCTGGAAAAGAAGAACATCCACCTGCCAGAGAAGAGTCTGCCTTCTGAAAGAGGTCTGTCCCCCACCAACAGTGGCCACGACTCCACGGACACTGACAGCAACCACGAGGAACGCCAGAATCACATCTACCAGCAAAATCCCATGGTCCCTCCTCGCGTCCGCAATGGGATGCCGCTTCTGAAGGAGGGCCCCCGCTCTTATGAACTCCTCAAGCCCCCACCCATCTGCCCAAGAGACTCCATCAAAGTGATCAACAAAGAAGGAGAGGTGACGGATGTGTACCGGTGTGACCACTGCCGAGTCCTCTTCCTGGATTACGTTATGTTCACTATTCACATGGGTTGCCATGGCTTTCGTGACCCTTTTGAGTGTAACATGTGTGGATATCGAAGCCATGATCGTTATGAGTTCTCGTCTCATATAGCCAGGGGAGAACACAGAGCCATGCTGAAATGAACATCCAGGCCCAGAGATAATTGTCACCTGATCATTCCATATCATTTTTAAAAACTGATAATGCCACTTGCCAAATCACTCTCAAACTCAGTTCCAAACCCCTTTCTACACCATTTTAGTGTCCAAAGGATCACATTCACGTGGGCAGCAGAGAAATGCTGTCCCCATTCAGAAATCGTTTGCAGATATATCATGTTACTACTTTTGTGAAACCTGTATTTTCCCATCAGGGAAATTTAAAAGCCAATGAAATATTTAGTCATTATCTTTTGTAGCAATAGAGAGGCATTCTTTGGAGTCTGTTGCCAATCAGAAGAGTCCCCTGGTTTTGCTGTGTGAAACATTGTTTTCTAAATACATGGCCATATGTGGAAAAGCCTCATAGTCCTATGTTCAGGTCCACAGAAAGAACTGTTGACCAGCTAACCTTGCTGGGAAACTCTGCCCATCTGCACTTCACCCAGGTTTGAAAGTTTAGAATATGAACTCTCCATCCCAAATTAGAGTCTAACAGTAAGGAAAAGAACAGCCATAAAATAAGTTACCAAAAACCGAAGCCCCTACTCTCCAAGCATCAGAGCCACCTCTTACCACACAAGCGAAAAAACCCAAGTTATCCGATGATACTTCCGCTTCTACTTTTATCCTCCCATCTCCCATTAAAGCTGCTTTGGGTTAAACCAGGCACAGAAGAAACTCTGTATCAGAAGAACCAGTGGTTTAAACATAGACTGTCACTGGAACTCCAGGAGGTTGTCTGTTTGGATGATGGCATCCTTTTCCTAGATGGAGATTGGCAGGCATGGTTCTGAGCGGGGAATGATTCAGCATCATCACCAGGGATGGAGGGAGGGAGGAACAAGCCACCGGAAGTTTTTCATCTCCTTTTGTGGAGTATTGGTGTACAAACCCAAAGCAAACTTGCCAATGACTTGACAAAAAAACCCAAAAACCAAAGAATCCAAAGTGTATGACTTAGTCTCCCCCAGCCCACAGGAAGGAATCAAGGCTAGATACCATGATCAGAGCTGAGCTTCCGAATGGGTGAGGAGAGAGGACCTCTGTGGGCAGGTTCTCCTCCATCAGGCAGATTGGGGGTTCCACCCCCCACACACATTTTAAATGGAGCTGTTGTATTCCACAGTTTCCTGACAATTTGCTCTTGGTTCTGCAGATGTGTTGGACATCTTTCTCATTAATTATGGGAGACATGCTGTCAAGGAAAAGTGCTGTGATAATTGTAAAATTAGCACTGGAATAGGGGTCACACAATCTGTTAGCTGAATTCCATGTTTGCCACTCATTAGTGGAATGACTTTGGGCAAATCACTTAACTCTTAAAACTAAGTTTCCTCAACCACAGAATTAGGGGTTGGATTGGATTTTGATGTTCTCTTAAGGTCTTTTCCAGTTTTAAATTTATGTGATTGTGTAGTAACCACAATTATTTTTTTTTAACCTCTTAATGTATGGGTATTAAGCAGAAGAGTGTGTGTATATGAATATATGTTTCACATTTCTTTGGTGTGAAAATGGTAGTATTGTTAAGTTTTTCCTTTAACCACTGAGTTGTGAGTGTGAAGGGAGAACAAAAAACAGGAAGGTATCTTGATCTTGCCCCCGAGTGTGCACACAAACTGGCACCTGCAGCTGCTTACAGAGCCTTATTTTTTCTCTCCTTTGAAAGTAACTGTGTTAGGAAAAATAAATGCTGCTTCCAGGGACCACTTCCTGGAGCCTATTTACAAATTAAGAGTCAGTTGTGTGAACATTTCCAGCAGAGGCAAGAATGCCCAATTCCTGGTAGAATAGTGTTTTATGTATCTGCCTTGATATTTTGAAAGGGCTTTATGCATTAGGCTCAAACTCAACGCGTCTGTGTGCCGCCAGTAATTTAAATGTTCCACCTCAGACTGCACAAATGGCTTATCCTTCTTTGTAGCATGGCGTCTGTCTCAGGAAAAAAAGATTTTGTGAAATTCCATGGCAACAGTCCCAACATGTTTGAGATTTCAGCTAGAATACTAGAAGGATTTCAGTGTGTGGGATTCTGAACATCACTGTGTGTCTGTAATCCTAGACCCCAAGCCACACCAGGTTGTTTACACCCATTGTGAAAGAGGAGCTGCTTATTATATTTTTGAAATATCACACATCCTGTTGACTCTTTAGGGGACAAAAGGAAGAGAATTCGGAAGCAAGGATTAGCAGAAGAGAAAGCTAGGGAAAGCGAGTATTTCCACCAGATTAGTGGGAGAGTCTTTAGAGAAAACATCATCTTCTGCACTTTAAGATAGTGAAACTAAAGCCCTTCCCACCAAGATGGGGACTCTGTAGCTATGACCCTGGTTTTCTCTGTGATTTCTGAATTTTCTGAATGATTTCCATTGTTCTGAGGTCAGTTTTATGAGTGAGGTGACCCCTCACACAGGCTGCACATTCACTGTTGCATTCTGAGCCTCCAATTGGGACATGTCAAGTCCCAAGAAAATGTGTATGTGGAAACTCCACATTCTTCTATCTTGAAATTGAACAGGGTGGAATGTAGCAGTTGCCACAATACAGGTAAACACTTATTTCTGCAGGCACTCCTTATGCTACTTAACCCTCTCCCTTGCTTGGGGTAGGGAAGGAGGTAAAGAACCTTAGCAAGATGCCTAGAGAGGAGGGCAGGTTAAGATTTACATCTGACCCTGCTTTACAGTGAGGTGTTCGGCAGCTTCTGACAGCACAGTCCTCTTCTCAGCCAGAGTCCCTGTGACTGTGAGCTCTGTAGGTTTTCTTTCTCCTTCACTTTCCCCAGTCCTCTTATTAGCCAGGCCCCTACCACACACCCAGGAGGCCGAGATCTGAGGAACAGCCAAACCAGTGAAATATTCCCTTACAGCCAAGGTGGTAAAGGAGTGGAAAAGGAAGAGAGCTGTTCTCCAAACGTTTTTTATTGTTATTTGAAGTGTTGCCTGTGTTCCCTCCTTCAGTTCCCTGGTAGAAGTGTCTTCCCCATTATACTGCACACCACCACCAGAAAAAAATATTAATAAATCCACAAGTCTTTAGATTCCTTAAATCATTCTTCCAAGAAGATATTAACCTTGACACAGATAAGCTAGCTAATGTTATGCTTTGTTATCCATTCTAAGCTGTTCCTGACTCAGCTTCCAACTTTATCAGTCACAAAATGTCTCACCTTTTAAAGGCAAAGCTTATTTAACATTTTACCAGACCCAGAAGTAAAATGACCTCAGATTTCTTTTTCAAAGAGAGATGTTTAAAAACACATTTTATTCAGTTGAAACACCGTGTTAGTAACAAACCTAGCATCTGCATAATGCTTTTTCCAAGGAGCTTCTGTATCACTGTTTTATTCCCCTCCTCTGCTTTTTTCCCCCAGCTAAATGTGAGGTTTAGAATGTTTTTAGGGGAAAAAAGCAATACTTTTGATATATATCCCAGGACAGGCAGTAAGACTGCAGTGTAAATGTTAAATGTTTAGTGTTTGAAGTTGTAACTTTAAAGTGTACCCCACTGTGAGTAGGTACGTTGGTCTCTAGTGGAGATTTGGAAACTCTATAACACTCAAGATTTGAGTCCTCCAAGTGTCCAGGCTCTTTGACAAACAGAGTTAAAAGTTTGAGTTAAAGAAGAGAAAAGAAAGGGGAGTGATGAAAAGTTTGCCCTAGAAAATGGACTCAGGCTGTGCAGAAGATAAGAAATAAGCAGTGATCCTCCTCATCTTTTAAAGAATCAGGAGCTATTTTTGTGCTCAGAAAGTACAGTTCAGAGACTCTCTATAGGCAGAGTTCAGAAAAGCAGAATGATTGGGGATTTAAGTGCCTATGAAAAGGACAATTTTGACCTAAAACCAAAAACTAAACCAAAACCTGGGCTATCCCAGGGAAAGGACTCGTCTCTAAGCCTAACTGACTGAAAAGGTCTGAGAATGATCCGTGAACCCAGGGTCGGAGACTGTGGACTTGGAAGAGCCTAGAAGAGTGGTCTAGACTTTGGACTTGTGTAGCTCCTAGCGCAAGACTGTACCTTTGTTGACCCAAGCTGTATATAGCCTGTCCCACACCGTGTCATCAACATGAGAAACAGGTCTTTGCACTTTGAAGAAGCTGGATGCAAGTTTCCTCTGAATATTACAATCGTGAACTGTCATATGCTGATATTGAATTGTTATTTGAAACTGGAATGTTAATGTTTTGATTTTTAAAAATGTAAGGACATAACAATATCTACCTCCCAAGGATGTTGTGAGGTTTTATGTAATTTTGTCTATTAGGTAACATTACTTTGTTTTGGGGGGGGGGAAGCGGGTGGATTATGTTGGGTGGCTGTAAATTTTCCACATATTTCTGTATCTGGATTTAAAGACATGGAAAATATTCAAAAATCATACTAAGACCATGATAGAAATTCACTTGCCAATAGAGGCAACTTACCCCGAACACACAGTTTGCTTCATGTTGTTTTAATGCCCAAGAGTAAAGAATATGCTGAACCTTAGAACCAATGGGTATGAACCACATGGTACAGAAACTTCATGACTTTGCAGTCAGATTAAGTAAACCGGCTTTGCTCGCTCACCATCTTATGAGCCCTCCACCATTAATTCTCCCAGCGATTTAGTTCCCTCAAGTGGTCCTCACCATCCATCCATCCATCAATCTCACTTTAGAAAGCCCAAGAGCAGTTCCATGATGTCACCCACCTTCTCCCAAGCCCAAGTCACACATCTGTGGGGCCTACTTCATTTTCTGTATGTGGGGGCAGCTTTGCTTCTTCCTCTCCTAAGAAGGCTGAGAATAGACCTTTTGACATGTTAGGAAAATGGGGCAGCCTTAAAAATGACTGATCCCATTGCCAGTGACTCATTTACACAAGGACTTTTCCAGGTTAGCAGACAAGGCCCTTTTCAGTGGGCCTGCTTCTGTGGGTTCACAGAAACCAAATTACTGTGGGTTGCAAAGAATTAGCAGGTCATTTGAAAAGCAGAC